GGCTTCTTGATGATGTGATCGTAGTAGGTGAGAAAGGCGGGAATGGTATTCGACGGGTTGCTGCCCTCCAGCCAGGTCACCTTCAGCGTTTTCTTGAAGTCCTTGTTGTCCAGATTAAGGCGGCCCTTGATGGCGGTGACCAGACCACTGGGGGCGTCCTTCTCCACCGAGACAATGTTCACATTGCCCCAGTTGATAAAGGTGACATTGGTGTCGGGGAGGATCAACTGGGCGTCCGTTTGGTCAATCAGCAGCTGCCTGCCAAGTGGCACCTCGCGGCTTCCCAGTTGGGCGTTCTTTGGGTGCAGTGCCACCGTCAGCACCTGACCGGCGGGCACCTCGTCCTCCAGCTGCACACGCACCGCGTCCGCCAACTCGACGGCAGAGTATCGCGCAGCGAGAGGGTCAATGACTTTGCGATTAAACGCCCAAATCTTGTCCCACTCCATGACGACCACTGCCTTGCTGGAGCCCTGACTGGCGATGAACAGCTTCAGCCCTTCAACGGTTAGGCCGCGACGGAGAATACCGCGAACGGTGGGCATTCGCGGGTCGTCCCATCCGTCGACGATTCCCTGAAGAGAATAGAAAGAGAGAAAGAATTACCGACTACTCTTTAACCACCTTCTTTTTCAGTCGACTCTTACCTCTTGGACAAAATAGGTCAGTTTTCGCTTAGAGAGCACCGTGTTCATGAGGTTCAGTCGTGAGTAGGCGGCAATCTGTGGCTTGCGAATGCCCATGGCGTCACAGAACCAGTAGTACTGTACATCGCGGTCCATGTACTCGCTAGTGCGCAGGGCGTGGGTGATGCCCTCAACGCTGTCCACATAGGGACAGGCAAAGTCGTACGTGGGGTAGACTTTGTAGGTGTTGCCCGTCCTCGGGTGCTCCTGTGGCTTACACCGGTAAATGGTGGGGTCTCGCATGCAGCCGTTGTCGCTGGTCATGTCCACCTTGGCGCGCAGACAATACGTCAAACCGAGCTCGGAACCGTCGACCATCTCCTTCCACATGGCCAAGTTCTTGGCGACGTCATTGGAGCGATTCTTTGACTCAACACGAGCCTCACGATCGGCCTTCATCTGCTCCGGAGGAGTGTCATCCACGTAGGCTTTGCCATTCTTGATCATCTCCTCGGCTTTCTTCAGCAAGTCGGCAAAGTGATCAGACGTGTAGCTTTTGTGGTCTGGCTTGATTTCTAGCAGTTCAACGTCTCCTTCGATGATCTGAATTTGATAAACAAAACATTTGATTAACGACACATTCACACCATAAACAAAAGAGCATACCTTTTCAAAGGACTCCTTTTCCTTCTCCGGGTTGGTGTCATCAAAGCGAAACACCAGTCGACCCTTGTACAGTCGCTGGTAGTGGGCATTGAGCAGGGCCGCCTTCGCATGGCCAATATGCAGGAATCCACTGGCTTCGGGCGGGAAACGGACAACAACCTCGCCCTCCTTGGCACCGACCAGCTCAAAGTACTTTCCTTCATCTCTTGTGGGGCTCTTGACTTGTGGAGCAGTAGCCGAAGTAGACGAGTTGGCTTTATCCTTTGCCATCGTTGATAGTGTTCAGCGGTTGGTCAGCACCAGCAATGTTGACTGATCCGATGATCCTTTGGCGGTGACGGAGCTCAAATAGTAA